CTTCTATGACAGCATTGAGTGTGTTTGAGATGTTAGGGACAGCAGGTGTTTAACTTTCAACTATCATATCTAAACTAGTCTTTGTTTTCAAACCCTCTTTCACGCATTGTTTGTAATTATCGGAGGAAAAAGGAGGAATATGTGTATGTAGCTGTAGTATAGGTTTATGTGACGTATATAATGTTGATTTTAACGTATTCGGCTTAGCTATCCAATGGCCCTGCAATGAACGATTGTAATTGAAATGGATTGTGACTGAAGTGGATTGATCGTAATGTTTGTTTTCCCCGTTAACCATTCAGGGCTTTAGTCTATACGAATAATGGTTTCTTCGACTATTTATTAGTAGCATACAAGCAGTATGTTTTACCCACTACTTTGTACGTATTATTTAGAGTGTATCGAGTTGAATGTGTGCATCTATGTAAGAGTCTTAAGTTAGTTATCCTGCACCATTGCCTATTTACTCAAAACTACAATTAATTTACTCGTACTAGGACGGCTAAGTAGTTTAGTTGTTAATCAAATTTAGTTAACACATCGCATCTAATGTATGTATGTACAGTTTGATATACTATCTAATTATGTATGTATTCTATTTAAGTCAGAAGGCAAATGTAATAGGGTCTATCTATCATGTTATCACGAAACTGCGTTTACTACATTTATAAATCCAACAGACATAGAAGTGAGGGAAACCAACAATTATGATTCATATTAAAGCTAATAAATAATATATTCAAAAGGCAGCAAATGTAGACATGTATCCATTTAAACAGCAAATGTAATTGATAAACACATATAAATGAAAAAAAATCTAAAATAAAAGCAATAAAAATGAATACTTTCAAAGCGTTTTTATCGTTTCTTTGGAATGTTTGGGTAAGTTTTGTTTATTAATTTTAAAATAAAATTGGTGAATGGTTGTCAATTATCTTTTCTCTTAAACAAATAGAGTAAAGTGTCTGGCAAAACCCGGGCTAAAAAAGTAAAATTCAATAATATTTTGTCAATGACCATATTCTCCTAAAATATCAACACAATAAAAAATGAGATATTTTTTATCAATCAATCAAAGTTAACGCACAGCTTGTTTTAAATTGACGCCAAGTGGCAGAAATTGAAGTTAATTGAAATTCGAATTTTGTAAATGCAGTGCAAATTTTCAAACCACTTTCCTCTCTCGAGCGTGTTCAAGTAGCATTTTTCAAATGCCGCATAATTGAATAAGAGCGTGAAAGAGTCGGAGAAAGGCAGGGTCTCTCGTGTATGCACCCTCTCTTACAGAGCTCCCCAATGGATCACTCGGTGCCCGACACTGGGACTCGGGTCCAACCAGTTGGCTATGTGCGCTCCGTGTCAGCGGAACATATCCGGAACGGGTTTCGGCTGCGTTCAATAAACCCAGACCCCCGAAAGGCATTCGGTTCGGGGGACTAATAAACCGATTTTGAGAACCAGCTGGCGATTAGCTGTCTCGCGAACCGCCCCATAAATGCCAGAGTCCTCAGATATGCGGCTATCACAACCCTGCGAACGCCGGTAAAGTTGGGGGCCGCAAAAATCTGCTATCAGCAACATGGATTTCGAGGAGATTCTGGCCAAGTGCGGCAACAGCAGTCGTTATCAGTTTTTGCTGCTGGCGCTGTATGGTTACCTCATGTTCGTCGTATCGATGCACTACTTCTCGCAAAACGTCATTAGTTTTGTGCCCGACCACTGGTGCTATCACGAGCAGCTGGAGAATCGCAGCTTCGCCGAGATCGAGGCGATATATTCGCAATTCGAGAGGCCCTCGTGCACGCGACTGGAGAAGATTGATGAGGATGGACTGAACCACACGCTGAGCACAGAGCGTTGCAATCGGTGGTTCTACAAGTATGACTTTGGATATAAAAGTATGAATACGGAGGTGAGTTCACTCAGTGCTTAGTTCGGCACAACTAATTTGCTTAATTAAACACACCAATTATAAATAAAAGGATCACACTTAAATTATTAGTATTTTTGAGCTCATACAAGTATTTTTTGGACCATATTAAAAATGGTTTGCTGCTATTTGAGTTATGAGTTATTATGGGTTTAAAAAATGTAACTTGCTAGAATCGCTTTTAATGAGCCATGAGGTCTGGTAAGAAGTACGTGTTAGTTTCAGTTGTAGTCATAAAAATATTTTAATTTGAATCAGTGATGCTCAATTCATATGATTTGAAATTCAATAAAATATTTAATTTGTATTTCAAACAATCCCCAAACTTTTCGTTATCGCGTATAGTTTTCTATAAAATAGTGTGTTTTGATATATTTTGGAAATTTTATTTTGTGAAAAGTAAAAGATTTTACAGAGTTGCTTTTGAAAATTAATATTTCTGAAAATTAACAATTACAGTAAATAATTTTGATTAAAATACTCTTTCAGTTAAACTGGGTCTGCGATGAGGCTTATAAGCCACGTGTGGGCCAATCGCTTTTCTTCGTGGGCTCGGTATGCGGTACTCTAGTCTTTGGCCTGCTTGGAGATCGGATAGGGCGGATTAAGGCCTTGATTTTGGCCAACTGGTGTGGCTTCCTAGGAGATTTCTCGACCATGTTCGCCAACGGTCTGGTTTCCTTCTCGGTCAGCCGTTTTATATCTGGATTGGCGGCTGATGCAAACTCTTATCTCATGTATATACTGAGTAAGTACCGGACACGATTTGTCATTTAAAAACGACTAATTGAATTGATATTTTCGGACAGTTCTCGAATATGTTTCGCCTTCGTTGAGAAATGTGGGCCTTAATACAGTTTTGGGCAGCTTTTACTGTCTGGGACTGATTGGGGCCTCCTGGTTGGCAGTTTGGGTGGGCCACTGGCGCATTTTCCTGGCATGCTCCTCGGTTCCTCTACTGCTTGTCACCCTGTTCTACTTCCTGGTCCAGGAGAGCGCCCAGTGGCTGGTCACGCGCAACGACATTGATGGAGCCATCAGGCGTCTCCAACGAGTGGCCAAGATCAATCGTCGCCAGGTGCCCGATGATGACTTTAGGACGTTCAGGAGCTATTGTGAAGAGCACTACCGTAAGGAGGCCAAGGAGGCGGAGCAAAGTGATGTGAAGCTACTGGACATGCTGAAAACGCCGCGCATGCGTAGTACGGCTTTCAAACTGCTGCTCATTTTGTGAGTATTAAAACTGGCTTATAATTTTTAGCACAGAAAAATCTTATTTTATTTTAATTAGGATTTATTGCGTCTTTGCTTGTTTTCCTAAAAAGCATTTCCCTAATCCTTATATGCGTGTTTTTTAAATCAATTAAATTAACAATGGGAAAAATATAGATGTTATCATCTTAATCATGTGTAAATACTTTTTAAGATTATGATCTGATAAGCGATAATTTTATAGTCTTCAAAAGTATTGGTCCGATCGTTTTGAAATTGTGTCTAGATTATTAATTATTACAAAAAATCGATTATGAAACCGTTGTTATCACGAAAATATATAGTCTACAGTATTTTTTTTTTAAGATAATACAATTACCAAATGTTATCTTTAGGCAAAATGCGATGCGAAACAAGCTCCTAAATTAACCTTAATGTTCATTTTTAAGGTTTGTTGTATTTTTCTGATCAACCTTTTAACAGTTAACAGTTTTTTTCAATAGCTGTGAAACTAAGTACTTACTTTATATCTGACAGGTATTTAATAGCATTAATAACTATCAACAAAGATAGCGAAAACTATAATTTGCATTTACAAAGTATTCTGTATCAAGTATTAATTACCTTTTTCTTCCTCCCGCAGTATAATTATTACACCCTGCTATAACACAATCGCTCGGAACGTGGAGGGTCTTGGCATATCGCCCTTCATCATGTTCTCGCTGAACGCCCTGACCCTTCCCCCATCGGGATACCTGCAGGGCCTTCTCCAAGATCGGATCGGGCGCAAGGCCACCGCAGTCAGTTGGATGGCCATCACGGGAATATTTGCCGCTGCAGCTGGACTGGTGATATCGCAGGGAAGCAATCGGAACGTGTTCCTACTGGTGGGTCTCACTTTGGCGGCCAGATTTGGGGTTTCCATCGCAGATGGGGCCAGCTCCCAGTTCTCCGCGGAACTAATCCCGACGAGCGTGCGTGGAAGGGGCGTGGCCGTGGTGCACGTGGCTGGATTTGCCGCCTCCTTCCTCTCGCCCTACATCCTGCACCTGGGCACGTACTTCAAGCCAGCCCCCTCGATTATTCTGGGGCTTCTTTTCCTATCTGGAGCTTACGTGTGTCTGCTACTGCCAGAGACGCGCAATAGGAAACTACCCATGTCCCTGGCCGAAGGAGAGGATTTTGGCCGAGGGGAGGGCATGTTTGATTTTATTACCAATTTGCGACGAGGGAAAAGATCCGACGTCGGCGTCGAGATGAGCACCAAGCCCTTGGAGGAGGACACTCTGATGACTAAAACTCTTCAGCCATAAGGGAGCTCTATTTAGGTTAGCAACAAATTGTGTTCTCCTCATATTCGAGTATCTTACATTCCATTGACTAAACACGAATTTGTATTTATATTGTCACCTAACGTTAATTAAATTGGCTTTTATTAGGGGACTACCCATAATAGCAGTATGCATCGAAAACTGAAAAAACGCCAAGAATATCAGATAAAGGAAAGAACTGGTTATTGGTTAACCCAATGTTATGAGATAAGTAGTATTTAACATTTAATAATTCTTGGGTAGAAACAAAACAGTCACACCACTGCGGGCGATGGTTGTAAAGTCTTTAGGATCACAGAATCTGTCTGTATAAATTAGCAGTAACATAGTTGTATATTTTGAATAGTAGACGGCCGATTACAGCGACGATATGGAAACAACAAAGCCGCTTATCAGCCATAATAATTAAATCAGAACGTTTAAGTTATGATCGAATCGGGCATTTGGTGGGTCCAGCTGAGGCGGGTTACTTATCAGCTGCGGAGAGCCGCAAGAGTCGTCCCAACTATTCAACTCCAATATCAGTTTACCGCAGCCGCTTTCACAATCCGCTCTTAACTATTCGACGACGGTGGCGGTGGCAGAGCGGACCGATTACCGCAGCGGACTGGCACAGGCAGTATGTGCGTGGCAGCGGAAGAGAGCGGACCGCCGAACTCGGACAGTTTCGGTGCCGTAGAAGTGCATCCCTGGACATGGCCATGGACTTTGAGGAGATACTGGGCAAGTGCGGCGACTGCCACCGCTACCAGTACATGCTGTTGGCTCTCTACGGACTGCTCATGTTCATCGTTTCCCGGCAATACTTCGCCCAGAGCGTCATTAGCTTTGTGCCCGATCACTGGTGCTATCACGACCAGCTGGCGAATCAAAGCTATGCCGAAATCGCTGCCATCTACGCCCCATTCAAGAAGCCTTCATGCACGCGACTGGAATCGATCAACGAGGATGGGAGCAATGCCACTGCCAGCAGTGAGCCCTGCAATCGCTGGATCTACAACTACGATCATGGATTCAGGAGCATGAACGCCGATGTGAGTCCCTGCTTGGGCGCCACTTAAGAGCGCCAATCTCTAAAGAGCATTTTCTCTCCCCGCAGCTGAATTGGGTGTGCGATGAGGCGTACAAGGCGCGAGTGGGTCAGTCCCTGTTTTTCGTGGGTTCCATGTGCGGCACCCTGCTGTTTGGTCTACTCGGCGACAGAATCGGACGCATCAGAGCCGTGGTTTTGGCCAACTGGTGCGGCTTCCTGGGCGACTCGGCCACCATCTTCGCCCAGAGCCTGGTTACATTCTCGGCCAGCCGGTTCGTATCTGGCCTGGCTGCTGAGGCCAACGCCTACCTCATGTATATTCTGGGTATGTTATCATTTTACAGCTCTTGCACTTATCTAGTCTTCATTTCCAAAACAGTGTTGGAGTACGTTTCGCCAACGATGCGAAGTGTGGGCCTGAACCTCACCATGTCTGTCTGGTACTGTCTGGGCATGATAAGTGCGTCTTGGCAGGCCGTCTGGCTGGGCGGATGGCGCCCCTTCATGGCCTGGTCCGCCCTGCCCCAACTGCTGGTCACCGGCTTCTACTTTCTGATCCAGGAGAGCGCCCAGTGGCTGGTCACGCGCCACGATATCGATGGCGCCGAGTTGAGGCTGCGCCGGGTGGCCAAGTTCAACCGACGGGAGGTCAGCGAGGCGGACTTCGAGCTGTTCCGCCAGCACTGCAAGAACAAGGAGTCGGAGGCCAGCAGCCAGGTCTCCATGCAGAAGCAGTCGCGTCTCATCGACGCTCTTGAATTTCCGCGCCTGCGTCTGAGACTTACATACGTGCTGGTTGTCTTGTGAGTAAAGGAAAAGGGCTTTCTAGTGCCTAAAATTTTATTTATTTGTTTAGAATATTTCATTATAAAATATATATAAATTCCACGTCTATATTATATAGCTATCTCAGAAATCCGATTTCGAAGTCCTATACCTCTAAAAGTTTGTGGCTTAATTCCCTAAAATCGACCTAGCTTCATTATTTTTAAGAATCAAAATAAAATACAGATTATTTTATTTATTTAATTATTTAATAGTTTTGGTCACTGAGGTCTGATTTTTCAGTGGTATACTCAGAGTTAAGGAGGGGGTATAATATTAAAATTTTTTTTTGTGTACTTTTTTTTATTTTTTTTTCTGAATGCACAACATCACGAGAATATTGTGTTAAAATTTTAGATCGATCCGAGTAAAACTTCCGATCGTAGGTCAGTAAGCGCGTTTTATGTTGAATTTTTGGGTGTCCCAAACTTTAAAACGCTCTCCTGAAAAGTTGCCATTTCAAACTATCGAACGGATCGTTTTGAGATTTTGCACAGTATTTCTCTACCAGGTAACGCTGTCGAGTTTTTTTTTTTTTTAATTAGTTATTTTTAGAGCAACAAATAACTCGACGTTTTGGGCGAAAATCGGGGTTTTTGACTCTCAAGAGCCTTAAAAAACGAAAAAAAATATAAAAAATAAAAACTCGACAGCGTTACCTGAGGAATCTTGTCCTTTAACTAATGCAATTTGATTTTTTTCAATTCAGATAATTCTGTGACCAGTTATCGTGTACACCGCAAAACGCGTTTTCTTCGAGGCGCCGCCGGAGATTGCATGTATCTCACTCAATTTTTAATATTTTGGGATAAAAAATTCACACATGTTGTTTAAATGTTGCCCTATCACATGCAAAAACCAAAATTGAGCAGTGACTATCCGTATCGCCAATAAAAATTCTTTAAAAATGTCCTATTTTTCACCGAATTAACTATACCCCCCTTAAACTTAAATGTAAATTACAACTTACAATTTTTATTTATTTGAAAAATGACTTAATCTTATTTATCTAACATCTTTCCAGCTCGATCACGGTGCTCTGCTATAATACTATGTCCCGAAATGTGGAAGGCCTGAGCATATCGCCGTTCGTCATGTTCACCTTTTTCGCCCTGACCCTGCCACCTTCGGGCATTTTCCAGACCCAAGTCCAGAAGAACTTGGGTCGCAAGTTTACATCAGTGGTCAGTATGACAGCCACTGGCGTGATGACCGCGGCCACTGGCATTTTGCTGACCTTTTGGACGCAGCCCAGTGCGATGGTGATGGTGTGTCTGCTGCTGGTGTCCCGATTTGGGATCTCCGTGATCACAGGGTCCACCATGCAGATATCGGCTGAGCTAATTCCCACTTGCGTGCGATCCAGTGGTCTGGCCGTGATCCATGTCACGGGCGCAGCCCTCTCCTTCCTGTCGCCCTTCATCCTGCACCTGGACACCTATTTCCGGGCAGCCTCCTCGATCATACTCTGCCTGCTGCTCCTTCTGAGCGCCTGGATTTGTCTGCTCCTGCCGGAGACGCGAAATAAAAAGCTGCCCTTGAGCCTGGCGGAGGGCGAGGAGTTCGGCAAGGACGAGCGGATGTTTGACTTTCTAAAAGGGTCCAAAAAGGAGGATCAACATGATCTCAGCGCTGGCACCAATGAGAAACTTATGGCGGAGTGAATATACTTATCAAGTAGGATTGGACTTAATTAGAACTCTTACGGCTTTGAGTATTTCTTCTGCACAAAAACGTTGCCAAAAATTGGTTTAAAAATGTGTTCATTTTGTATAAACTAAATTTTGCTTAAAATCATATAATATAGTGGTTCTAACGATATCCATTAAGCAGCCAAGATTATATTTATCATAAGGGCTCCGCTAGTCTAGACAATAAAAAAAATGTCGACTTTTTTTTACTACATTATGAGCAAAAGTGAAATAATTAAACTACAAGATAAAACATAAGCTGACAATAGGAATGGCAATAAAGACTGTGGTAATTACTATTATTGTAGGCTTCTTCGATAAGAAAAGATTTTGACACCATTAAATAATTTATTTGTTTTGCTCAAGGTTTTTTTTTTTAATATTCTGTGAGCATGTACAAAATTAGAGTAATGAAAACGAAAAATATATTCTTTCTTAATAAAAATACTTTTATGGTTTTTCAAACTACTTAGTTTGATTAAGTTTTTAAGAGCTGGATTATGTTTGATCTTGGCAATCTTATGCCTTACAAGGAAAGGAAACAAACATTTTAATTGTATTTTTGTATGTACTTACGAAACTTTCCGTCCACCGCGAATCTGATACAAAGGCATAATTTTCATGGCCCACCAAAGAAGAAAACACACTCAAGTACTTAGAAGAAACTATTTTCTCCATGTAAACAAATTCTGGTCGAGAGTATTCGAATGTTCATGCTGGCGAATCTGGGGTTTCATTTCTGCTTTTATCTAAGCGCACTCTTGACCTTATGTATAGTACACTTGAGTAGGGGCGGCGCTTTGTTGTTTTGGCTTTATTAAGAGTCCATTCAACTTATTGCTCGCCTGCATTGTTGTACTATGTTTGATTCACATTTCAGAGGTCACGCCGAGTGTTTATCTATGCCAGAGAAGGCTTTCCTTCTCGTGAGACGCCGGCGTTTGTTTAGATTGGAGTGAATGAGTGAATTCACTTAAGCAATAAAGCGTTCGCGTTTGAGCGACCCGCCATATATATGCGATAAGCCGCCCCCAAAACAATCTTATCGGAGATAGACGGAGACTCAACGTGCGAATCCGGCCACCTTGCACTCTTTTTTCTTGCCTCGCCTCGGATTGAATCGGAACGGAACGAAATCGTCTGGGCTCGGATCGGATCGGTTGGGTTTAGTCTTAATAGAATCTCAGCGAGAGCACGACAACGTCCGCCCTGTCATCATGGATTTCGACCAGATCTTGGAGAAGTGCGGCAGTGCGGGTCGCTATCAGTACCTGATGATTCTGCTGCTCGGCTACATAGCCTTCACGTCCACCGTTCACTACTACTCGCAGAACATAATTGGGTTTGTGCCCCAGCACTGGTGCTATCATGAGGCTCTGGCGAATCGTAGTTTTGAGGAGATTGCCGCCGTGTATGCCCCCTTTGGCAAGGAGGCCTCCTGCACCCGACTGGACAGGATCGAGGGTGACCGGGTCACGGTGAGTAATGAGACGTGCCAGCGTTGGATATACAACTATGACTTTGGATTCAGGAGCATGAACGCGGAGGTGAGCTATGGAAGGTATAGGCATGTCCCCAGCTGAAAGTATAACCTCTTGTTAATTAGCTTAACTGGGTGTGCGATGATGCCTACAAGGCGCGGATCGGACAATCTCTGTTTTTCCTCGGCTCCCTGGTGGGAACCTTCACCTTCGGCATGCTGGGCGACAAGATCGGCAGGGTGAGAGCCGTGATCCTGGCCAATCAGTGCGGATTCGTCGGCGACTTCCTCACCACCTACGCCGCCAATTTGGTGCAGTTCGCCATTTTTCGGTGCATTTCTGGTCTCGCTGCCACGGCAAATTATTATCTGATGTTTATTCTGGGTAAGCATTGCGATATCTTGAGAATGAGTATAGATGTAGGGAAAGCTTTTGCATACCTACAGTGCGGAGTCAACAACAGTGTCTACTCCTAATAATTGTCCCGACTTTCATGATACACATCACAAAAACTGTATTTCAATACTGTAACTACTCAGGTTTTTGACCCATATCAATCCAAACGTGCTTCACTTAGTAATTTAGAGGTCACGTATGAATATTACAATTTAAAATTCTCTAAAAAGCTTGCTCTGTATAGTAAACAAATAAAAGTGGAGATCTTTAGAATGCCAGTTTGTATTAAATAAATTATACTTTCCAGCACTTCAAGCACGAACAACAAACCATATTAAACAATGACCACTTTATATAATTTAATTTTCTAGTTCTGGAGTACTTGGCGCCCAAACTGAGGAACTTGGCCATAAGTGGAACCCTTGGCATATGCTTTTGTCTGGGTGCTTTGGTGGCTCCCTGGCTTTCTGTGCTGGCCGGGAATTGGAGGATCTACCTGACCTGCTCGGCGCTCCTCCAACTGGTGGTGGCCCTGTTCTACTTTGTGGTGCAGGAGAGCGCCCAGTGGCTGATCACTAGGACCAATGTGGAGGGGGCGATTGCCAGGCTGAAGCACATTGCCCACTTTAATGGAAGGGAGGTGAAAGCAGCCGACTTCGAGGCCTTCCGGAGGAATTGCATTGTTAAAAGAAAGCTCTCAAATCAACCGGAGCAAACGGCTGGAATTTTCGATCTTATGAAGACCCCGAATCTTCGCAAGATTTCACTGCTGGTGGTAATCACATTGTAAGTATTATCGTTAAAAAGTGATCATCAAAAAATATTGGATTGTACTGTACAAAAAAGGGAATGAATAATTTATTTCCTATAAATGTTAAATGTAACCTGTATATATTTCTTTAATTTGGGAATTAGAATTAGAATTCTAAATTATTAAAGAACATTAATTTATATTTTTTTTAATATAATATTTAGTATGTATACATTGTATAAGCGCAGCGACATTTTAGAACATCAATAAGCTAAAATTTAACTTTATTTAGACAACTTAACAAACTTAAATTTATTTTGTTTTTTCTTTTATTTTAAGCATGCTGACTTCGCTGAGTTTCAACACCATATCTCGAAATGTGGAGGGCTTGGGACTGTCACCCTTTGTGGTCTTCTCATTGTTTGCCGTGGTCGTTCCCCCATCCGGATTCATCCAGGGCCTCCTGCAGAGTCGGGTGGGTCGCAAGGCCACGGCCTTTCTGGCCATGCTCTGCACCGGACTGCTGTCCTGCGCCCTGGGCGTGGCCCTCTCCACCGATGGCGCCCAGGGCAACGTGACCTTGCTGCTGGCCTTCGCCTTGCCCATGCGACTGGGCATCTCCATGTGCTACACGGTCACCTCGCAGTTCGCCTCGGAGCTGCTGCCCACCTGTGTGCGCTCGCGTGGGATTGCTGCAGTGCACCTGGCCGCAGCGGGAGCCTCCTTTGTGTCGCCCTACCTCATTCACCTGGGCACAAAGCTGCCGGCAGCCCCGTCCCTCATCCTGGCCCTGCTCCTCCTGTCTGCATCCGTTTGCACGCTCCTGCTGCCGGAAACGAACAACAAGTGAGTATCGAAGGAGGAGGAATGAATGTCCATCCAAACTTTTAGTGGTGCACGGGATACCCCTTCAATGAGAATATGCTTAAAATGTTTTTTCTGAAACCGGAATACCTTTTAATCCTTCACAGACAACTGCCCATCACTTTGGCCGATGGCGAGGCCTTTGGCAAGGGCGAGTCCATGTTGCCGTTTGATTGTTGGCGTCGGCATGATGACGATGTGTCCAAGCAACCCGTCGAGGAACTCAGACTGAACCAACTCAATGGACAAACAAAATCTGACACGGAAGCGGAGGTGTAGCGAGATGACCCAATCAAAGTATTCCCCCACTGACTGTTGTATTAAACCCCAAAGGGTCTTTAGAAAAAAAAGGTGGACACGGTAGTTGCGAAAGTTGTCAATAGATGTGAAGTTTGCTTTATTTTATTGATTCACTGCTGTTCACAATTTATAACACAATTTTAACTTAGCAACTTGTATTGAGCCAATTGGTTGAGTTCATTAGCTTTTTTGAATCGTGTGTGTCGGTATTGTTGCCTCTGTATTAAGTACTTACTTGTAAGTAAAAGGGTCATAAGTATCTTGTATCTTGTAAATGGTTATGTAAACTCTTGTAATTATGTAACGCTTAAATGCCATAAACATAACGGCTACAATTTGATCGCTTCATTCTGCCCCCAATTGCCATAGAAAGTCTTACAAACTCTAGCGTACAATTAATCGGAATCTCAACGGGGATTTCCGCATTGCGAAACTGACCAAAGGTCCGTTCTCTTAAATCTAAGTGTAAAGTCTAGCGCAGACATGGCGAGAAGTGATTTAGGGCCATGTCGCCGGTCGCCAGATAATAAAATGTGAAACTATAAACCAACCCGATCAGGTATTCAGCGAAGGGACAAACTTAACTAGAGTTTCACCTTAACTGAGCATAACTAGTTCAATGTAAAATGATATAAAATGAATAAATAGATTGTTCTCAGGGCAGTTCAGGGAAATACAATCGGTGTGTCACCTGTGAAACAACTTAGATTAATGCTCATAGGAAGGCAACCGCAGCGTTTTTCTGATAATCATCTATTACTATGTATATTTGTGTATCATATGTGTGTATTCGCTAAAAAAGTTTTCTACATTAACGCAACATGTGTATTTTTGGGGGAGGCGGGGCCTATATGCCCAATCAAACATATTCTCCTTGGGGTTTATATTCAATAAATTTATCAATTCGTTTTTCTATGAGCAATTCTGGCGAATGCTAACAAATACATTGGGTACATAAATATTTCTGATATCAGTATCTGTAACTTTAATCTGTGTATTTGCCTGGCATCCAAGCGGACACGTCGGAAACGTCAAAAACGTCCTATAGAAATTGCCTAGCGCTAGGGGTTCCCGATCTCTGCGAACTGGGCCTAATAACAAATGCTCTGCTCGAAATTCTTAATATTACGGAATGCTTGTAAAGGTGTTATAAGTAATGTATCTCAGTAGATTTGTATGTATAAAGTAGGTAGGTGTGAAGTCTGCATCGCATCCATAAACATGTATAATCAACACTAGTTCACAATAGTTCAGTTGAATCCGAAATGCACGTACACAGTAAAAAGGTAAAAAGATCCCTCATAGTTCTCTCGCAACCTGAGACCGAGTACGGGGGTACTCCAGTATCCTATATTCGACTATATAGCACCATCTCAGTGAGTAAGTGGATAGGTAAAGACCGAGTGGCGATTGTTAAAACACAACCGCCACTCCTCCCGCGATCCTAAGGTAAGTGATATACTTGATTTAGGTGGTAAGTACATAGTAAGTAGTAGAAAAATATACATGTAGTAAACATTGAAACTTTGGAGACTTTAGAGGGAATAAACTATGGCTACGGGTGTGTGTGTATAATTATGTATATGTATATTAGGTGTGGGTGTGATTGGGCTCCCAACAAAATTTATGGCTTAGATTAGAGAGCCAACCAACAGCTAACGCTTCAATCTTAGATTATGAACTATTTGTGGGTAGAATTAGTATCTGTGTGTATATTGTGGTTTCCTACTTGCGCTTTCTATGCTACTAAATACCATTTACTTTTGCAATATTTGCTGCTTATTGTTTGACATTTATCATATGCTGATTTAGAGAAAGTATTCTATGTCCACATCCACATCCACATCCAACTCCGGTTGCATTTTCACATTGATTTGCATAGCTATAGCTTCAATATCAACTTCGTAATCAACTTCGTTCGTGGTGAGCCATTCTACCAAAGTGTGTAAATGTACATATGTCCTACAACATGATCATCACCAAATTTTCAGGCGTGTGCATTATTTGTGTGTTTCGAAAACATCGAGTATAAAAGACAAGCGGTATTTAGGCAACGAGTGATTCAGCAATTTTCTTTTATAAAAAACATCTTCTATAAATTTGTTGTCAAGTATCATTCAACTTTAAATATTACTTTGTATTATCGGTATTATATTTACGATCATGGTAAATATCCACTTACACCAAAAGCATTCATAAGACTCGTTTTTGTATTCTTAAAAGTGATTTCTCTGAAACAATTCATCTTATAGAGCTGCCCTACGACCTAAAGGGTATTCATAGATATAATATGTATGCCTATATAAAGACCACAATAATCAGATTTGGAGGGAGGTGATATCTTTGGCTGCTATGGGAATTGATTGATTCATTGATTGCTATGGTGGGTCTATACCTTTTCAGGAAGTTGGAGGCATGAAGCTGTTAGCTTAGCTGGATTTGCACAATGTTCGCGATATGTATGATGTCAGGAGAGATATATGCATACAGATTACAATGCCGTTTGCTTAATGTCTAAGAAACGAAAGAGTGGAAAATAAACCAAAAATGTTGAATTTACAAAAATGTTATTTGTATTTTTCGGATATTATGGATAGGTTTACAAAGTAAGCTTATGCCTCGATTTAACTAGGTTTTAACTGTATGTTTAGTTCTAGTTTTATCGTAGTTTAGCGCATATAGTATGCCAATTGCGAATGCCTCTCAGAGGGGAGAGGGGAAAAAAACACACACATACAAACTGTCTTAATATCTAGGCGGCCCGACCTTGGGACCTCATCGTTTTGCTTTACAGTTTTAGTTTTTTATCTGCATCGAATAGCTGAGAATTGCGCTTACAATTAGTGCCATAAACTTGATAAGGTTTTTTTCTTAGTTTCTCATGTCTGCCTTGATTACTTTGCTTTTTGTTTTTTTTTTTGCGTATCAACGGTTCTGGCAGCGTCATCGCCATTTTCCGACGTATTCGAGTATTCAGAAATCATCATTCCACACTCTTAACTCTAACTTGTGAATGTTACAATCGTTTTGCTTTCTTATACCGCTAGTAATGCTTCTCAGAGTCGTAGTGATCGTTAATTGATAATTATCGCATAGTTATTACAATACAATACAATACAATGCAGTGTGCCATTGGCAATTCAAACTGCGAGTTTGTGATTTGTCCTGGTTCTAAACAATAAGTTAATAATCTTCAGGATCGGCCTATGGCAAATTGGCTCGAATGCCATCCAAAGTGGAACGCAGCACCAAACTGCCCTCCACCCAAAAGTTGGGTCGATCCAGCATGTTCTGCCACAGGGATAGCTCCTTTCCAGTGGCATCCATCCACTCGACTTGGCGGCCATAGCTGCGACCTGTTAAAGAAGTGGATTTAATTTGGGGTTCGGAGCGGAATTAGTATGGCAAACTAACCTGTTCCCAAGGAGAAACGTATGCCGCCAACAAACTCATTGCTGGCCAGGCGATCGTGATCCCACACGGTGAGCTCCAAGGCCCGTTCTGACAATTCCTCCAGGGAGACATCCTCGTAAACGAAGGTGTAGTTCCAACTGGGATGCAAAGTGCGCTTCACCACCGGCGTCTTTTGCTTGGAGCTCCGCGTGCGATCAGGCAATAAATAACTGGCAGAGTAAAAAATATAGTTAGTTACTTGTAATTATTGCACATTAGTTGAAAGCCCACCTTTTGCAGAAGGCATCGCATGTGCCGTTGGCCTTGATGGGACTCAGGTGCTTGGCCTCCTTGACCAGCACATGCAGCTGGCCTCCCTTCGAAGTCCGGTCCGATTTGGAGGCCACCGACTTGATGCTGCCTCCAAACTTTCGCAGGTTGGAGGAGCTGCCCGTTAGCGAGGAACCGCGCGAGAAGAACGACGACTTAATGCTCTCCGGTGGAATGTACTTCAGGCCCACCACAATGTCGCCTCTGTAAGTGGCCACTTCGTCAAAGGGTTCACTCTGCGAAAATGTAAAAAACATGATTAAAAGATAGGTCTTACTATTTAACTAAGTCTGTGTTATATATATTTAATTTCTTTTTATTAAGAAACAATATAGTTTTAAGTGATTTCATTCTTTGTTACAATTTTTAATGTTTAGATTACCATTCTTGAATTTAAAGCTAATAATTGCTGTAGTGTGATATAATTAATGACCAGACTAGCACTGTTTAATTGGTTGGGCTCCCACTTTTGTTTAACATGGTTATTATAGTATTTTAAATTATGAAAATTGAATGCTAACTTGTTTATTGTACAAGCAACAGAGAGTGGATTGATATTGTTTGTAAATTTAACATTATTAAACTTAACGTTGGCCATAACTTTTGCTGGAGTTCTTTCGTTACAGAGTATAAAAGCTATTAATAGACTTTTACCAGAACCCTCTGGTAATGAAGTTTTATGAACACAATGATATCTACCTTTTATATATACTTTTTAATGTTTTGCGGAAACGGGTTAAAAAACTTACGCGCTCTTGGAGAAGGTACCACTGCGACTGGGGATTGTCGAAGAGGCGACCCTGCAAATTGACACTGACTTCGCCGAGGAAGTCGTTCCGCCCAAACATATCCGAGTGCCAGACCGTCAGCCACAGAGTTCGCGACTCCAGACTGGAAATGGGTGTGTGGAAGCGCATCGTCTCATCGAAGATGGGATTCAGCGTATGCTTCTTGACTTTGGTTTTGCGCTTGCCGGCCTTTGATTTGTCGGGCAGCAGATATACCTAATCGTTAGAAATATCAAAGATTAATAAATATATGTTAAAGGATAAGAAGGTAATAGAACCCACCTTGACATAGGGATCACTGCGATTACGCTTGGCATCAACGGCAGCCAAGTCCTTGCAACGCACCACGTGGATTTCCAGGGCGCTCAGCTTGTAGTTGTACTGCATGGCAAACTCCACTTGACCTTTGACCACCACGGTGCCATAGCGACCTTCGCCCGCTCCCGAATAAACGCTGGCCATGGACTCCGAACGCACCTGTTAAGGGGTGATTAGATATTAAAATATTGTAGACTATGCTAACAAGATCTGTGAGTATTACTTACCCCCAGCGAGCTGAGACTGCTGCGATTTTGGTGCATGGCCACCAGCCGATCGATGTCCTCATCCGACTGGGTGGGCCACGTTTCGCTGGAGGCACGCGACTGGATGGGACTGCCGGTGCCATCTGCCTGCCGCTGTCCAATCACCGGCGATCGAGTGAGCTCCTCGGCGGCCACTTTGGCCTCCTCTGCAAAGAGAAAAGCCATCAATTAGCACTCGAGTTTTCCACAATTAAGGCTAATGGTCTATGCGACCGGATGATTAACGATCCCATAACGATCGATGGAAAATGTGGCTTGGTATTTTTAGCTAATGAACAGCGTTGATAATATTCTTTTTAAAGCCCCCCATTGCACTTCTTCTCGGTCTTTAATTTCATAAGTATTTCATAACGCAATCCACATACAATGTTCTGGACAATAATTGTAGGTTAAGATTGGAATGCATCATTATGTGCACAATTCAGAAGGTCAAATGAGATATTCTATGTCTTCCTATTCTCAGCTTTGTTTGCACATTCATAAAACATGAATATTATTGAAGCTTTAACCATATATCTCTAAGCATTTAATGTATTTTGTAGTAAAAAAAAAGAAATGTTAATGTATTGTATATAATACATCGTGGCAGAACGAAAAAATCAAATAAATCAAGAAGACATTTTCAGAAAACATTGGCTAATAGAGGTGATTTTCCTCAATACCACTCCATAATTAACACAATAGTGTTTTTTTAAGGTACTAAAGTATATACAATTTTTTTTCGGGTGCAATATGAGAGGAGATCTGTGAGGGAGAGCAGCTTGGGGCATCGGTGCAAGGATCATGCAGTTGGCAATGGTAGCAGTTGCCGCCTACCTTGCACCGCTACCCGTTCCTGCCTCGGATGATCCTCCGGCTCAGATTCCGCCTCCTGCTCCTCGCTCTCCACGAAGGTCACATGCAGGGGTGTGCGTCGGTGGAGGATCAACGATGTCCTGCCCCCAGGAGCAGCATTAGCCGGCAGATCCTCCTCCAGGGTCTCCAGAAACCTATCAGAGTTGGACCTCAAACTATCGTCCCAGGTCCAAGCTCGTCTTTTAATTACAGATGGAGATCGCAGTGGCGGAGGAAGTTGCTGCAGTGGCTCCTGGGTAACAGGAATCGCGGTCTCTTCAACTATTCTCTCACTTTGCCTGTTGGCCTCCGCCTCGCGTTGTTTCATCTCAATCACATAGGAAGCCACCTTGGCATCGATGTCGTCATCCTCCTCATCGGAATCGTAGTGGTAACCATTGGATCTTTTTCTGCAGCAGTAGCAAAAGAAATGACTTTTCCTTGGCTTTCCACCCGATCTGCTCCAGTAATCCTGATAGCTCCTTTGGCGACGCCTCTTTTTCCACCAACATTGGCCAAATAGATGCCGCCACTTGGACTTGCGTTGCGGTTTCTTGCACCCATCCCCAGATCTCTTTTTTCTCATGCGATTCAGAGCTGCATACTGAATTTTTCCAGCCGAACTGGAGGGCAGTGAGGAGCCAGCCGGCTGGGACACCACTCTGCCATAGTTGTGCACTCGAGCCAGCGGAGCAGGTGCAGCCGAGGCTGGCTGGGATTTCTTGGCGGAGGTGGACGCAAACACATTATAGCTGGTGGCTTCTTTCGGCGCTGAGTTTGCTGTTCGTCGCGGGCCAATTAAACGAGTCACTTGCTTCATTTTCTCGATTTCTCATTTCACAATTGCGCGTTTTGGTGGCAAGATTAATTGGTGACCGCTTTTTTTGGTGTCATCCGCAGCCGACTGCAAATGTTTTATATCACTTTTGGCTCTGCCGTTTCGCCAACCAGTTGGCAGTTGTCATCTGATGAGTTTCTCAATTGCCTACACTGCGCAACTCTTTGAGTCAATTAGAAAGGTCTTAGCTTTTGGGTTTTTAAAGGAATTATCCGAAATAATTTGGTTTCAGTCTACATTTAATTCAATTGAGCTATTAGTTTTAAGTAGCTTTCAATTGGTAAGTAGTTTTTCAGAGTATGTTCAATTCTATTATAGGCTGAACTAACATTGCAATGTGATTGCTTTGTTATATCAAATAAAAAGTTTGAGGTTGCGCCCCAGCCGATAAAAACCTTCTACTTGTTATCTATAAGATATGGCTGACAATAGTTTGCTTTTACGAGTACGTACGTATAGCCTTTTGGTTTTGCATTGGAAAAGTTCTTTTTAGAAAACGTTGAAAAATGCATTAAGTGATAAAATTGACAAAGTACAATCTTATGGAAAGTTTTTTAAATTTATTATTTATTATCATCATCCGGAACTCTAAGAAATAACACATAACGATTCAATCAAGATATATACCATTTGTTGTCTACTTTATTGGATCTGGTATTTCGCCCACCCAATAAAATGGCTTCCACTTATTATCACTTAGATATATTACAACAGAAATGGCTGATAATGAATTATTTCTGAGCAGTGTGACATAGATTGCTGGCCCTTTGATAAGATGCCCGGCGACACGCAATCTTTGGTTATTGGAACACGTAATTGGAGCACTTGATCGCCGCTTGAGAGCCGCTAATCTTAGATAGCAGGCACCTGGGCCATAAAAACATTTGCATGACCCACCGCCAGCAGTCAATTTAATTAAGTCGAAATGAATAGCGGCCCTGAACTTGCCACAGCCTTCAGGTGATGACCAAAACGAAGGTGTGAAATCGAAGGGGAGCAGCAAACAATCGAGACAGTTAGCCAATAAAAGTGGGTCAGATTACACCCAGAGCGTTGAGAATGGCCAAGCGATCCATTCGGAGGCAATTAAACATAGAAATATACATTAAAACGTCTTTAAGGGCTCTCAAAATGTTTGCACTGGGTGCTGAAAATTTGAATTTCTTTTATGCAGTCACGAATTGTTGACAAATATCTCCGACCCGTCAATGTTTTCATTTCGTTTTCGCTTTTTATGGCACTTCTATAATTTCCGCTTTGTTAGCACAGCGCTCAATAAACGTGAGCGGGAAGGGCAAACCCCAAACACCCATAAAAAAAACAAGCTAATACCAAAAACCCAAAGCGAAAACCCGGCGAACTAAAAGTCAAAGTGAGTGAAAGACTTCACTTTCACTGGCAGCGATCGGTTCGTTAGAGTTAAGATCGGAATTCGCGGGGCCTTATAGAGCACATCGTTGCGGCGGAGTTCCAGTCCCGTTGCGCGATTCGAAGCAACTGATCCAGGGATCGAAGTCACTTACAGAACCCCAAGAACAGAACATGGTCAGGGCGACCGCAAATCTAAGTTTTATTCAATTATTTAAATATTGAACTATGGGGTCGCGAGGGGCGCCAATCCAATGAAAACGCAATTAACAAGAGCCAATGGAAAACAATCGCCGCAAGAGGGGTGATCTTGAAGAGTTATTAAAAAAAAGTGTATTTGATTAGGATCTATAATGTGCGATTGAGAATAATCCAACGTAATAAAGATAGTTCTTCAGCAGAAATAATATATCTAAAAAGAATTTAATAAATAAGGATTTAAACTATTGAAGATTTGTTGCCTCACTTTTAATAATAAATTGGTGGACCTCCCATGAAACACTTGTAAATGTAGGTTTTCTTACTTGAAAAGTACATGGTTATTTTATCCAAAATGGTAAAGTTCTTGTCCTAAAAATTAAAGAACTCTCCTCGCTTTCCCATTGAGATTTACTGTAAGGCAGTGAAAAAATACACATTCCGTCTCGCATTTCTGGTTATTCTGTCTCGGCTCTCGGGCAAAAAGGTTAATTTAATTAGGGGGCCGAACTGAACGGAGATCGGTGGTCGGTGGACAACGGGTGTCGCTTACAGGGTGATCTTCCGCTGGCAGTTCCATTCCCATTCCCATTCCTATTCGAAACTTCCGCCATGCGGCTGCGATAATTGCAAGTCGGTTCGATTTGCATAATTGTGGAAATCGTTGCACTGCAATATTATTGCATGCAACGGCCCCCGCTGGCGGCTGTGTTTTGTTTTGGTGCAAAACACTTAAACGGCTGCCGGATGGGCACGGACATCGTGGCGGAGTGGAAAATGGACGTGGACATGGAACACGGACCACTTCCGCACTCCGGCGGTGCAGCGATGCACGAAACTAGATGTGGAAAATGCATCGTTTAATTTCCCAACGAACCTCTTCTGGCGGCGATGTCACCTCCTTCGTGGGCTCGAAAACATTAATTGTTGTATGCAAAATGAATAAATGAAATAAATACAGGAAATAAACCAGCGAAGCTCTTTATCAACGTCAAGAGCTTAAATACCGAATGGGTGTACAGAAGTTCAATACTGACACAGAGTTCAGTGGTTGGGGCTTAAAGGGGACACCCATTTAATTGTGCTTTGGCCAAGACAAACGAGTTGGTTGAACTGGAAATAGAAACTGTGTAAGCACAACTGTTTTCAGAGATGGCAACGTGAAAAAAGTTGGCAGACAACCTTGTTGGTCCATTATCTGAATTCAATTCTAATTGTCTTTAAGAAATGAGTTAATTATGATGAATTTCATTCATCTTCTTCGACCTTTAATTCTATGCTTCAGCAATGAAAGTTTTTAAGATTTAATAAACATTTTCCATGCTTTATATGGGGCCTATAAAAGCTTAATAGCTTATCTGTGGCTTAATGTGCCGGAACGCTAACTGAATTATCAAAAGAAAATATAAAAGGCATTTCGCCGAACTGAGTTTCCATACGATTTCTCTTTTGATGATTAATATCTGTTCCTCGATAGTAAAAATGAATTATGATACAATTTTAATTTGAATTATAGGGAGGTGCAATAGACTTAGTTAATTTTTTGTTGTTAATACAACAATTCCTTTTTGCCAACATGTAACCTTGTTTATTGAGGTGCTAAATAATATAATTATTTATTTACTTAGCACTGTAGTTAAGAACTTATATTTGTTGTTTTTTTGGGGGTTTTCAAAGTATAAATAAATAACAAAAAATAAAACCTAACATATTATCTTTAGTATTTATCCATCTAACATTCTCCAAACATTTTCAAAATTCAAATACATTTGTTTATAAATACCAAACTATACTCTTGTTTTATATTCTGTAGGGTGTGTCCCCTGTTTTGAACTTACTAATTAACTACAGCTTATTCAAAACCATCCCTCATTCCCCATCACTAGGTGACACTGCAAAGTTCAAAGCCCGCCTGCACCCAGGTTTTCGAGTTTCGAGTTTGGGATCCATTGACCAAGTGGTATATAATTGTTGGCCGCAAAAGCGAAAACAGCTTTTCAGCCAAATAATATATAGAGAACAGCAAAAACTACAACAGACGCCCCCGCCAAGCGGAACAAAGCCACTGCCACGAGGTACTCCACACATCCAAAACTACATACTTCTACGTCGGGGGGCACATTAACACACTGACTACGCAACTGTGCGAAAATCGCTTTGGACGCTAACTGGAACTGGAAACCCAGCCGCAGTTGGCTATGAGTGGAGCTCTAAATATGGATACAGTTAATTGACCTTGATTGAGTTTATTTCGGGTGAAGCAGCTGTCTGCGGAACCAAATGACTCCATCCGAGTTGGTGTGAGTGTGTATCTATGAGTGGGCTTCCCGGGATGGCCAACACTAACATCATCATTATGGAAGGTTTGTGGGAAGGAGGCGTCACATTCCCCAGATTCCTGCCCCAGCCTAATCAGCATAAAATAGTTCAGGGAGCGGCTGCCTTGAAAGTGCAAGTTTTGGTGACTGGTTTTTTTTTTACTTTTATAAGGAATACATTTAATAAATAAATGCTTAAACCGTTAATGTTTTTCATAACATTTTAAGCTCTCAATTTATTTTTTGTTGTTCCGAATTTTTTAGTTTATCAAGTAAACATAAAATCTTCCAAAGAATTAATAGCCAGTATTCAGATATACTTCATATCAATTACTATTGATAAACAGATTTTCCCATTTCAATTTAAATTCTACAATATGAACCAGTTGCCAACTACATTTATAAAATTTTTTTAAGTGCAGACCCTGCCTTAAGGTCATCTGTCTCCCACTCGTCTAAGGATCAGATTCCCCCGGGACTCCTTTGACGGCAAATGCTGAACTCCTTCCACTTGGTGTGAGGAATTTTTCATTAGGAAGGAAGCAATTTCATGGCCAGTTATTTGAGCCCGCCGGCTGACGCACCACCCCGAATCCCGAATCCCGTGATGAGGGAGTGGCCACCACCCCTCGCAGGTATGGCTATGCTAAAGGTAAACATTTGGCTTTGAGCAACTCACCCGCTGACATGTTGAGACGTTTGCGCGCATCGCGTTTGGAGTAGAGGAACTGGAAGCCCGCGCCTAGTTTTTTGCCCGTGGAACCACTGCCACCGGCACCGCCCACTCCCCCGCCTCCAACTCCCCCCACTCCTCCTCCTCCACCACTGACAGCTGCCGCCCGAGCGGCCAATCCTGGCGAGCGGTATCTCGCACTCTTGGCACTGCCAGTGGCCGAAACGGTGGATGAGTTGGAGGGAGTATGGTTGAGGGCGCTCTGTGACTTTGTCTTGGGCGTGCTGGTCATGGGTGCGCCACCCACTCCGGTGGTGGGTAGCCGGGGCAGGGAGTTCGTGCTGGCCACCACCTGGCCGGAGTTCAGACTGCGCGGCAGAGTGGATCTGGCGCCGCCAAACTGATTCGAGGCTGCCTCATCACTGGAATCCGTTTCGTAGATGGCATCCGGTACACTTGAACGCCGCACATCCTTTGTGGAGTCACCGCCAATCGAAGATCCCGCGGAGGAGAGCCACGGCTTGGCGGGAGAGGACTCCAACTGGTGGTGGTGGGCATCGCCGCCGCCGATGCTGCCGCAGGATCGCACCCGGTCCAGTTGCTCGCGGCTCAGGCTCTGCTGGTGCTGGCTGAAGAGAAGGTCGCCTGCAGATCGGCGCTTTGCAACAGCCAAAGCGGACGCAGACGACGAGTTATCCCTGTCCAGTTGGCTCAGCTGGCTGAGCCTCGTTCTGCTGTCGCCATTAGCCAGTAATGCCGACTCAAAACTGCCGCGCCACGAGAACCGCTCGTAGTCGCTGGCCACGCCGCACTCCTCGCCGGCGTTGTCCGAGTGTCCGGGTCCGGCGGAGCCTCCTGCTCCGGCTGCCCCACCGCCCGGATGATGCCCCGTGGCCTGGTGGTGCAGGTGATGTGAGTGGGGCGAGGTGCCATCCAGCAGGAGATCATGGGATCTGCTCCGAAGTTTCAGCTGTTTAATGGGCATGGCCCTCAGTTGCTCCTCCACCTCATCTTCCTCATCCTCCGTCGTGGTGGCCGAGATCTTGGCCTGCAGTCTTCGGTGGTGCCGCTGGTTTTGCGGCGACGGAGTGGGCGTCTCATTGCCACTGCTCACCTCGTGCATCAGAGCCACCAGCCTGGTGCCGATATGCTGCATCACCTTGGCAAACAGTTGCGGAGATCTCTCAGTGGTTGACTGCTCCGTTTCCTCAACCTCCTGGGCAGTCTCTATTTCGGGTTCTCCTCCCGCCGCCACCTTGCTAAACGAAGCCACCAGCTTTTGATAGACCAAAGCCTCCATGGGCACACTTTGACTCTCGTCCAGCAGGCCACCATCACCGCGATCGCCCTCCTCGTCGATCTCGAACTTGTTGATTATCTGCTGGCAGCTGGCCGAGATCTGGGCCTTCAGCTGGCCCTTCCGTTCACCGCCCTCCAGATCCGAGCTCGTGTAGTCCGAGGAGTCGTACGAATCGGACCACGTGTCCTCACTGCTCAGGTACTCCACTATTTCGCGCACCTGCTCATCGTTGATTCCCGGCACCGTTTTCATCAGTCGCGTCAGCTCGTTCTCGAAGTAGGCCAACTGGGCTGGCCGGGATTTGGCCAATCTGCTCTGGGAACTGGGCGTGGGCGTGGTGTTGGCGTTGGCATTGGCATTGGGCGTGGTGGGCTTGCTCTGCTGCGCATTTGCAGTGGCCACAATCAGGGTCTTGAAGAACTGCCTCATTTTGCTCATCATCAGGTTGGTCTCCTCATCCGAACTCCAATTGTTGAAGCTGTCTTTGCGCACCAGGTTGGGCAGGGCCAGATTCCTTAGTTGGCTGGGAGCTGGAGTGGCCGCGGCAGCAGCTGAAGTGCTTGGCAAATCCATCTTGGCCAGACTTATCTGACTGTGGGCCGGTTCCCGATCCTCACTGATCTGCTCCAGGGCAGGAGTGGGACTCTTGGGAGGCTCACAGTCCGGCGCCGCCTTCAAAAGATCATCGTTACTGCCCACGAATCCACTGTCCCGGCTGTGGTGGTGCTGTTGCTGCTGCTTCTTGGCCTGGGACTGCATCTGCACTTGACCACTGCCACCTGGAGTGGGTGTGCGGCACTCGGAGGGCTCCAGATCGTGCAGCTTCTTCTCATCCAGTGAGTCGTGACGCTTGCGCAGCTGCTTCTTGCGCTTAATGGTGTCCGAGGAGGAGCCATCTGAGGCTCCGGCGTTGGCCAAATGGATCACAGTGTCGTCACAGCCCGCCTCCGATTCCGAGGTGTCCTCCACAGTGGCTGAAGCTGCTCCGCCTGCAGATGTCACCGTGGCATCCAAGGTGTCTGCGTCTGGCAGGAGTAGATTGTCCAGCGAGGAGTTGTGGCTTCGCGGGGTTCCCCGGGCTCTCACCAAACGCTTCCTCCTCTGACTGGGACTCGGATGTCCTTCACTATCGCTTCCCACACTGCCACCACTCTCATCACTTTCACCTTGTTTTTCTGCACCACTGAAGCCCATGAATCCGGACAGGAAGTACTTCTCTAGGCGGGAAGAGGCCAGATCGGAGGCGCCACCACTCTCCATTAGCTGATCCTCGTGGGGCAAAGAGTCCAGGCTCTCGGAGCACTCGGAACTCACCTCGGAAGCGGTGTCATCCCCGCGTGTATCGATGGAGCTCATCACTCGCCCGTCGCCCAGGCCAAAGAAGAAGTACTTCTCCAGTTCGGAGGCACTTAATCGGTGGTGGTGCTGCAGGGTGCGCTGTCTTCGCCTCTCCGCTAAATCCTCATCCTCCATTTCGCCATCCTCGTTGTCCGCCCGCATGGAGGCCACCTCGCTCTCCTCACAGCTCTCCTCGACTATCGTGTGCAGGGTGAAGTCAATCGCAGATCTATTATAGCCCCTCAGCTCCTCCTCTCTATCCAAATAGCCATGTCGCCGGCTTCCATCATTTTCGCCCTCCGCATCCTCGGAATCCGTGGCCGTAGGTGTGGTGGTGGCATTGCTCAGGTCCTCATCATCATCCTCGCCCCGCTGGCTCAGCTCCTCCACCCAGGAATCATCATCCGCCAGGCCGTCCTCCACACTGAGTTCCGGCACAGCGGGCGGTTCGTTTAGCGAGTCCACACTGTACGATTCGCGATCGCTGCTCACGAGTTCCGTTGGCTCCATGGCGCGAAATGAGTCACCTGCAAAGTTCTGGGCAAAAGTGTTGCTGCTGGACGGGCCTTTGTTGCTGCTGCGGCCGGAGTTGCTGTCGTGTATGTTGCTGTTGCTGCTGGTGCTACTGCTGTTTGCCATTTCGTAATCACCAGCTGCACTTTCATTGTCTTTGGTGATCATGACCAAACTGCGATACTTGGCTGAAAGTGAATTTTTGGGCGAAGCCAGTTCGCTGGGCGATGTTGCAGGTGTGTCAGGTGTTGTTGCTGCTGCACTTGGAGTGTTTTTCTGATGACTACCGAATATTTTGTCGAAGTCACACTCTGCGTTTTCGCCACTCACGTTTGAATTCACACTCACTACGTCACTGCTGCTGCTGCCGCCGTCGACAACAACACTCGAGCCGCTATTTCTCGTCTTTTGTGCTGCGAAAGCGTCATTATTATTATGGCCAAGTTCGTTGTTGTTTTTAGTGTTTTCGTTAGTGCTATTATCGTTGTTGCTGTTACTGTTGTTGCCGCTGAAAAGCGCGGAGCGTGGAGCGACCGCAACGTTTAACATTTCATTTTCGACTGGCGACTCCGCCGACTCCGATTTCGATTCGAAGCGATATTGCTGCTCGTGAGTGCGAGCGACAGGTAAGCGAGAGCTCTCTTCTACCTGCTCAGGTGCCAAGAAACTCGCCGCCGAGAGTGAATCCAGCGAGTAGTCACTGTTGTCGTTTATTTTGCATGCTTGGCTGCATGTGCCGACCCTCTGAATTTGCTCAGCTGTTCGCCCATCCACCAGTTTACAATCGCTGTTGCTGTTTGCCTTTACCTGGTGCTGTTGTTGATGTTGCTGTTGCTGCTGCTGCTTTACCTGCGGGCAGGTGAGGCGGTCATTAGAACTTAGCACGGTCGAGGGGCTTTTCCAAGAAGGGCTGCACTCGTCGGGCTTCCCCGGACTACCTGCCCGGTTGTGGGTGGCAGCCACATCAGTGCCCGCCGTGGACAACTGCAGATCCTCATTGATTTCGGCCACTCCCTGTCGGAGGCGTTGTAGCTTCATCTCCAGCTGGGAATTCTGCTTGTGCAGCTCCAGCAACCGATTGACATCGTTCGAGATGCTGTGCAGCTCATCGCAGGCGGCCAGGGCATCGCTATCCTCAATGGGCTGTTGGCGGCGCTCTGATTGCTCCCCGTCTGACAGCGATCGCATGTGGTGCAGCACCACGCCGGCGGCGTCGTCCGTCTGCCCGCCCACCACCACAATGCAGTTGGCCAGCTCATCGCTTGAGTTGGCAACACGGCGTTCACTTTCATCATCGTCGTCGTCGCCGTCGTCTTCGTCACTCGATTGGCAATCACGTGCAGCTGGCGCCGCCTCCTCCGCTTTCTTGGGCTCCTCCTCAAGGGGCTTCACATAGTTGAGTACTATCCCACAATCCGTTCGCTCGGTGTCTGTATCATTGTCGGATGAGTCTTCTAGATTTGCCTCAGAGGAGGAGAGGGAATCTCCCTCGGTGGAGGAACTGCGTCTCACCCGTGCTCCTGGCTGGCGGTTAACGATAAACACCTTGTTGAACCGCCTTCTTTTGGGCCTGCGATCGCGTACGGTGCCCGTATCATCCGAATCGCAGGATTCTGAGCTGGAACTGGAGTTTGAGCTGGAGCTTGAGCTGGAACCACTGGTGGTGCTGTGGTGGCGATGCTCCTGCTCCTGCTGCTCTGGCACCACCTCCTCTTTTTGCTCCTCCATCATTCCTGCAACATTGTAGCTTCTTTGAGTGGTCTTTCGGGGTTTCTTGTCCAACTCCTGATCCTCCTGACTGCTATTGCTACTAGCCTCATCTGGACTACTTGCCGCATAGCTCTCGCTCTGCAGATGGGCCGATCCCGATGCCGAAGCCGATGCCTCATCGGACATCTTGATGTTCTGTATAAGTCGATTGGAGGACAAATTCTTGGCAATCTCCGCTGTCGCCCGCTGATCTATCTGGTCTGGGTGCTGGGCTCTGGGTTTGGGACTGGGACTGGGACTGGCACTTTTAGCCACATTTCCAACAGCATTTTCGACTGCAAGTCCGCCGAAACGAGTTATTACCGCAGGAGCCGCAGCTCTAGTTGCTGTTTGTGTTTGTGTTGCTGCTGCTGCTGCTGCTGGTACTTGATTTTTATGTATATTCGTTTCGTCTGCTGCTTCCACTTCTTCGTGGCTGTTGTTACTGGCCAGGTAGGTTTGTGTTGTTGCCGCTGGCTGGGTTTCGCATAGATTTCGGCTCTGGTATTTACTGGCCACTCTCTGAGCGGTTCCCTTTGTGGATGTCGCTGGTGTTGCTGTTGCTAGTGTTGATATTGCTGCTGGTGCTGCCGCTGTGCTCTTATCTACACTGGCAACATGTGCCTGAACGGCGGGCACTGGCAATGTGCCGGTTTTATCATAAACATTACACAATCTACCCGTTGTGGGCGTTGCGTTGTTGTTGCTCTTGCTGCTGCTGCTGCTGCTCTTGGTGTTGCTGTTGCTGTCGTCGCTCTCACTGTTGTTGCTGCTGCGACGCGCGTTGCTCGTTTCTTGTTGCTCACCCGTCGGCGAACGCGACGCTACTAAACTTGTTGGCTTTGGCTTGAAAGCATTGCTGGCCATTTGTTGATGTTGCTGCTGCTGTTGTTGTTGGTATTGCTGCTGCAGCGAGTTGGCAGCTCGGATTGGACTGGCCAGTGTTTCCAGGCTCCGTCCCGCCGTCCCATAGCCCGAAGTGCTCGACGACGAGGAGGAGGATATGGTGGAGCACAGGGACTGCGTCATCAGTGATCCCAGCGAGGCACTCAGTTCCGGCGCCGAGGACTTGAAGCCACCCAATCCGCGCAAGCGTTGTGGCATCGGCGGCGGAGTGGTGGGCAGCTGTTGGTAGCTTTTGCTGGTCACCGGCGGCGTTGCGTCGAACATGTTGCTACTGGCCGCAGCGAATTGCTGCGAGTAGGCTGCAACTATGGCGGCAAATTGCTGTTGGTGGCCGGCTGCCTTCCAAAGTTGCTGCAGACTGGCGGCCAGCTGTTCATCCTGCTCCAGGAGAGGATTACCGGACACTTCAGGCCAGTTGGGATAGGCGGCCATGGGCACTGGAATGGGCACGGGCACGGGAATGGGCACATACTGCGGCTGCTGTTGCTGCTGGCTGGGATTGCAGTTGCATCGGTTGTGGCTGTGGTGATGGTGATTCTTCAGAAATCGGGTCTTAATCCTGGTCTTCATGCTCAGTGGATGAGGCGGTGGTGGCACGGGTGGAGGTGTTTGATCCGAGCTTGTCTGCGAGCTGCTCTCGGTGTTCAGGACAAACTCCTCATCGGTCCCCGTGTCACTCTCTCTGATCCTTGGACAGTAGCTACTCCTCATTTGCTGGGGGCGCCTCTGCACCAGCGGGGAATCACTGTCGCTGGACTGACGCCTCACACGCGGCGGCGGAGTGGGGGTGGCTCGTGCCGTGGTATAAGCAATCATTGTAGTTGTGGTGGTCGTGGTGGTGGAGATCATGGACGGTTCAAAGTAATCCCAATCGCAGTCCTCCACATTGCTCACAATGCTGTGACAGTGGTGCGTGGAGCAGGACGAATCCGTGTCATCCTCCTCCTCTTCCTCCTCCTCCTCCTCCCCGTGACAGGACGAAGATGAATCCGAGTTGAGGAAGACGAGCTTGAACTCGTCGGCTTCAACGCTATATTGCGACTGCTGCTGCTGGCGTCCGTGCTGGGTGGAACACCTGAAGTCTAGCTCCGATGACGACGACGTTTCCATGGCATCACCCACTCCTCCACCACCGATATCACCGGAAGCCACGGACAGCTGCTGCACTCCTGTGGAGTAGCGGGGGTGAAGATTTGGGCACATAAGTTCGGAGACAACCACTTTAACGTTGACCAACACCACGAAGCGGTACGCAAATACTGGTTATTAGCACCACACAGCCACCAACAAACAGGTGAAATACTGGTTAGCCAAAGGGTGAGTTATTCCACACCAATATTATAGGTTGCAGACGGGTTAAGCACAAGTACGGGTGGTTGTTTTACAACTAACATGGGTTAAGCTTGGATGGTTACACCGAAATACCACAGATATTAATAGATACTAAAGGTTACAAACACAAAAGCAGGCTGTTCAAAGGAGTGTTAGTCATTTTATCAACCCCCATTCTTTTATAGTTATCTAGGTAATGAAATGGGTTCTGAGAACGATTGCTGCTACACACCTTATTGAATTACTAGAACTGCAAATCGAAATTAATTGTTCTTTTATAATATAGTTATTAAATACAATAATCCTTCCCGATAATCAAAAACCATAACTAACAAGAAAGGAAAGCTAACTTCGGGCGGAGCCGAAGTTGATATACCCTTGCAGAATATTCTGTAAATTATATTCTCCAAAATTATTTATATGATGCATTCTTAATACTCATAAAAAATCGCAACTTCCTAACTTTAAAAACACCAAAGTTATTTCATTTCCAATCGTTCAGTTATATGGCAGCTATAGGATATAGTCGTCCGATCCTTATGAAGTTTGGTAGGTCGGATTGATTGGCCAAAAATAAAACCCATAGATAATCCCAACTTCCTAACTTAACAAACACCAAAGTTATGGCATTTCCGATCGTTCAGTTATATGGCAGCTATATGATATAGTAGCCCGATCCGGCTCGTTCCGACTTATATACTACCTGCAATAGAAAGACAACTTTTGGGAAAGTTTCAAGCAGATAGCTTTAAAACTGAGGGACTAGTTTGCGTAGAAACGGACGGACAGACGGACGGACAGACGGACAGACGGATGGACAGACGGACATGACTTGATCGACTCTCCTGGTGATGCTGATCAAGAATATATATACTTTATAGGGTCGGAAATGTCTCCTTCACTGCGTTGCAAACTTTTGACTGAAATTATAATACCCTCTGCAAGGGTATAAAAATCGTCTTATGATCAATTACTGTTTATAGTTTGAAAAAGAACCTTCAAAAAGGTAAACCTCGAATTATAAAAGCTGATGCTCATAAATAAAAGGTAGGCTTATCGTAATATTGAACACCTAAGCTTGCATATTTTTTGGGAAATTTATATTAATTTCTAAGTAAACAAACAAACACCTTGACTGATTTGTTTTATTTATTCCTCATAGTTAAATAAACCAGACAAAGGAGCAACTCTATCTAAAGGCCATTTAATCAAGTGTTTGGTTTTCTAAATAAGAAAATATACTCAATAGCAAAGAAAGGACAGGTGAAATAAGATCGCAAAAGACCACAACCTTAAGATTAACCATGCCCTTAAGAAAAATAAACTTTTCATTTATTTTTGTTTTATTTTCATAACTCCATCCTCACCAAAATTGAATATTCTAAAAATCATTTCCCTTGCCGTTCAAGTACCCATCTTGTCCGGAAGCAGTTCAAAGACTCTTGATTGATTATGATTGCTTGCCACAAGCTTTTCTTGCCAAGACAAGGACTAGCAAAAATTTGCCAAAAAGCTTTTAAAGTTCCCAACATCGCTATGTCCTTCGTCGCCCCCTCCCCTCGACTTTACCCGCACCACTTTTCTTGGATGGGTGCACAAACAAAAACTGCAATAGCCGGCAGTTGGCGGATGCATGTAGCGTCAATCCCTGGCAGCCACAAAGTAAACATTTGAACTGCGCTTTCCCTCCACCATGAACACTTCCTTTCTATCATTTTTCCAGCACTTGGAAAAATTCAGGGTAGCATAGTTGACATAATTAATTAGTTATAAATTGAGGAAAACACAAAATAATTCCATTTATATTGGAAATATAATTTAAACCATTATGTTTGTATGGACTTTCACTCAGGAGAACCCAAATTGTTCGTGAAACTAAACAAATTAAGATATTGTGTCTAAATATAGTTAATCAATGTTATTTCTGATGTTAACTAAGAGGTAATCTTTGAATTTGCAAAAAAAATTATCAATCATGTACACTTTTTCTTTCAAATATTGAATGAAATATTAGAGGTTGAAAATTTTAAAAATAAATGGAACTTTTTTTAATAATAATTATTTATTAAGTTAACAGAAACACTTAGAAAAACGTGTATTTACAGGTAGAGTCTCTGTAAGTTGTTAATTGTTTAATCATCAAATCATTACTCTTTCGTTACATTTATATTTATTTCGAGTGCACTTGTTCCCTAAAAGCTAACTGTGAACACTTTTAGGCATTCACAGAACCAGAGCAGTACCCACATCGGGGCACAAAAGGTGTATGAGATAAGATTAACGCTACAGTTTTGACAGTGCCACCGCTTTGCATGGCCAAAAATACCAGTGGGTGGCACCGGCAGTGAAAGTACACGGACCCAGCTCTGGAATCCTTCCAGGCGACAGCCCACCGCATCTCTAATCCTCACATAGATACACGCGGCGTTGTTGGTCACAAGACCAGACCCCCAAAAATCGCCAAATTGAAACATAACAAAAGCCGGCAAAGGCGTCCAAGTCCCTCTGCCCCCCGGGAAAATCCTCTGAAAACTCTTGAAGCGGCTCGGCGAAGTGCGTGTGGGTGGGAAATCGATTTATGAGTTGCCAAAAAATTATCCCGCCAGCCCACGGCACGGTTTTTGTATTTTTTTTCGGTTTCGGTCCCGTGGCCCAAAATCTTTTGAACCGCGTCAACTTTCCTCTTAAATTTGGTTTTTTCCGTCGCTTGTGGTCATGTCGCCAATAGCTTTAGGGGAAATTTAATTCAAATAGAGAAAAAAAGTCTGCTGCGAACATGGCAAAAATTGATGGCATACTTTTAGAAGCTGTCTAAAAAAGTGAGACGGAAAAAGTGTTGCATTCTTTTGGGATCCTTTTTTTAAAGCTAATGATTAAAAAATTTCAAAGGTGGAAACTTGAGACCAGACTGCAAAATTCTCTAACTACCAAGAAAATTTACTTTATTATACTCGGAATAATGCTAAAGAAGCTCTTCTTGAAATATTTAAAATACTAATACCTACAAGTATTACAAGAAAAAAACAAAAAAATAATTTTAAAGGAACGAAATTAGGTAGGTGTTTTTAATTTCTTACTTAAAGCTTCTTCTTAAATATTGTTTATTTTTTGTAAATGGAGTCATAATTCTAATAGTTAAACTAGATGATCCCATCAATCTTAATTAAGCCCAATCATTTGCTAAAGCCAAAATAAGTTTAGCAAAAAGTTGTAATTTGCATTTAACAACTTTATTATTTCCTTCCCTGAAGTCAGAAAAAAATACGGAATCTTCTGGGTAAGCTGGCGTGGTTTGACAATGAGAGCCAATCCAAATAGCAGGCACCTTCACTCCTTCAAGGAGCTTAATTAACTGAGCGAAATTAGACGGAGGCGAAGCCCTTCACAAAGAGTTTGTTAGTCACCCAGGCATCACCACCCACCATCAGCATCAAAAGCAGCATCAGTACAGGCACTAGCATTACCATCACCAAGTTAATTAGGCTCCCAAACATACACTTAGCTACACAGTTACAACTACAAAGTGCACACTGAGATAAAATCTTGGAACTCAATTCAAGTATAAATAAATATTCGAATATATTTTTTAACTATTTCAGAACATGAATACCAGCGGTTTAATTATGTAATTTTGTTCTACTCTAAGACTTTAATTAACTAATTGCAACTTGTTTAAAGTCATAGATTATTTTCCATTAAATTTTATTCTCATTTTAGATATTTCTCTCAGTGCGTTTTATGGGGACAGCTATTAGCACTAACCTTCTTCGGCCGCCTTCTCCTTTTCCTTGCGACGCTGCAGCACGACCTTCTTGAAGACGACCGCCGCGGCCTCCACTGCATTTTGCAGCTCCTGTTCGCCCAAAGTGCTGGTGTGGGTGGCTTCCTAAGGATTCAAAAAAGGACAAAAAGGAAGTCGATGAAGTGAAAAGTTTCCGCGTTTAAGCCTACTTGTCTGCGGGCCTACGATGTTCTACTCACCGATGCGCTGTTCGGGTCGCCGCTATCCTTGTTGGCCGAGGTCTCGAGGGACTTGCCGTTGACCGGCTGCTCCGCTCCAGATCCTTGGCCCGGTTCCCCTGGGGGATTCGGATTCTCCTCCTGGCTGGCTGATGCTACTGAGGCGACAGGAATTTCTGTTTTTTTCAGGCGCATGGCTAAATCAGAGTTTCTATGCATAAGCTGTTGATGGAAGGAGTAAATGTGCTGGGGCGTGCTACCTGTGGGGGCGGTTAACGGGAAGGGGTGCAAAGCGTTCATCAATCGGGTGCCGGATCAAGCGCAGCTACTCAAGGTTCTACCAGGGACCGCAAGAATTCATTAATTAACTTTAAATACATAGTTATTTATGCGCAGGCACAAACTACTTTGGGCATCTTAGGTTGGGATAACTATTTGTGAATATTGTTTTTAAATTGAACTACTAATCACTGTTTAATGGTATAAATGTGGTTTGAAATTAAATGACTGAGATGATTTATTTGAAAATCACAGAGGACACTAATAATCACTATTTGATTTTTATAAGAATAAGGTTTCATTAAGGACCTAGACCCCTATTTAACTTTGGCAAACGAAACCTTTTAATATTGTCAATTAAAATAAAATTTAAAATAAATTAAATAAAATATAAGGGACATCTATTGAGTATTTAAATTACTTCATATTTTTGGTCAACTAAGGCGAGGGACTAAATTTGGAATAGCTTTGTTTTATACGTGTGCATTTTATATTTTCTACATAAAATATTTGTAAATCTAACTACAAATGTTGGTATACGAGTATATGTATTATAATTGGTTTATTATATTGAATATGGTTGTTTAAGGCAATGATTATGTTATAAATCAAATCAGGTGAAGATAAGTGATGGGTGCTTGAGAAGAAACTGGTAATAATTGCGGTCCCTGGGATCTACGGATGCGTGGGCGCAGAATGCCACCATAGCTACTTTCAAAACTAGAGCTTCCTCGAGACTTACCCTCCTCGGCTTCGCCAATTCCAGTGCGACTATTTCGGCGTCTTGCCTGTGGAATTTTGGAATTTCCTCGGGTCTTGTCCAAAATATCGGCCAAAGGTCGCGGACTGGGTATTTTCGTAATCTCCGTTTTCTTCGTGGGCTACGTAAAAAATGAAATATAATTTATTAATAATTTGTGTGAAGGGGATTTCCCATAATAAAGAGTTTTATTAACGATCTCAGTCGCAACCCACCTGCGTGTCCTTTTCAGGATGCGAAAAGGATCGTCGTGTGACCGGCTTGGGTGTCGTCTTGGCTCCCGAATCCTCTGAAACGGAACGCATCTGCTCTGGTTTTCTTCTCTCGGTGGCATTTCCATCCGAAGCACCTCCAGCGCTTGATGACCCTTCATTGCCAGACCCTTTTCCTCCACTCACATCCGAGACCTGCGAGAGTTGGGCCAGTTCCTCCTGCTGCATCTGCAGTTCCCTGGACTGCCGCCGTCTCATGCGATTGTGCATCAGAGGAGTTCGGGGCAGGGCTGCTCCTCCATAGAAGCCCTGAGGGGTGCCCATATCGGGATAGTAGCTGGGCACACCTCCTGATCCGACACTCACACCCAAGCCCACTCCGGCTCCTCCGCCATATCCCGAATCAGCCAGGACATTCTCAGCACTGTATATCGGTCGCTGGGACGAATTCTGGTAACTACCATCATCCGATCCATTGTTGTAGATGATGCGCGGCTCACTGCTGAATCCTGCGTTATAGTTCCGCTCGTACTGGACTTCATCCGACTCCAAGAAACTGGTGGCACTATCCCCGAAGTAATCCACGTATTCCGGACGATTGTCCAACTCCTCGGTGACATCGGGAAACTGGTGGAACTGTTGCTTGGCCTCCCCGAAAGTCCTCTCCTCCTTTAGGCAATCCTGTCGCACCAAGCGACTGGGCGATCGACCGCCAGTCCGCTGGACAGCCGTTGGAATCTCCGGCAGAAGTCTCCTGTTCTCCGGATGCCCCTTGGTGTTCGAGTACTCCTCGTTGCTGTGACTGCGCACCTTGATCATCTTGGCATGGGGATCTCGGGAGTGATGGATATTCACGCTCTGACTGCTGGAGTACTGCTCTCCACCACCGGCACTGGTGCTGGCCACACTGCCTCCACTTCCCAGATCAGTGCCTCCCACAGCGGGCACATGGGGCTGGGAGAGGAACTGCCGCGGATTCGGGACACTTGGGAAGAGGAAATTCTGCTTGGCCCTCGGTGAAATGGGCATGAATTTCGCCGGTGGCGTGGAGTGTACTGTCAGGGTGTTTCCACTGCTAAAAGCCTCCGGATTGGGCAGCGTTTGCTGGCGCATAAACTCCGGGGATCGGCGGATTTGCGGGGAAGTCTGCCGTTTTGGCGGCGATGTGGGCAATAGCTTGACATGCTGCTCGGGATTCGGCAGCGTGGCCTGCCGCGTCATTCTCGGCTTGGGCATGGGTCCGACATCCTGCTCACCGCTGGCCAAACTGGAGGCCTGCGATTCGTAGTTCAAAGGCGGTGGAGCCACCGTCGAGGGAGGTGCTCCCGTGCTGGGCAACAACTTGGTGCGATGGTAGGTGCTGGGCGGCTCCGGGAACGAGGTCTGCCTCATGAAGGGCGGATAGCGCTGGTGCTCCCCCGGCGATCTTTCCGGGGAGCGACTGTACAGGCGGTTCGGGGAGGTGGACATGTATATGGCCGGAGTGGGCTGAGCCGGCAGCGTGGATTGACGGCGCACCTGCAGCCGGTGATGCGTGGGCGTGACCTCCAGCTGGGGCTGCTGCTGCTGCTGCTGTGCGTAGTTGTCGCAGTCATCCACCGTCACGCCCACTCCCATTCCCATTCCCGGCATGGTGTTCATGTGGATGACGTCGTCGCTGTTGTAGGCGCTCGGATAGAGCGGGCTCTTCTGCAGCTGATGCGGCGATGTGGGCGCCGTTAGGTTCACGGAATTGTAGTTGGCCAGGTTGCCACCACTGCCGCTGAGGGTGGGGTCGTTGTTGAGGCTGGTCGGGAGCGTCGACTGACGCAGGACCCGTCGCCCCAACTGCCACTTGCTGCTGGTGGTGGGCGTGGCAGTGCCACTGCCGTAGCCGATGCCGTGCGTGGGTCTCGGCTGCGGGGGCAGGTGGTGCTGCTGGTGGTGCTGGTGCAGGGTGGGGTAACTGCCCGCCGACTGGGCCTCAATCAGGTGCTGCTGCTGCGGATACAGGTTGTCCGCCACCGGCTGCTGCGAGTTGGGGTTATTCGGATCGTCCTCGGGATCTGCGGGGTAGAGGAATTATCAACTTGGAACCGATAAAGAGTCACGTACAAGATTTATGATTGTTACTTTCCACTACATTTTATATTTTCTTTATCCCATTCCTGTTATTAAACACACGACTTCTCTCTATAAATATTAATTATAATATTTGCATATTATATTTAAATAATATAAATATTTTCTTTAAATTACAAACACCTGAAGCTATAATGTCAAAGACAAATAAAATATCTTTGAACCTACAAAAAGAAAATAAATTGGGATTTTAATAAAAACGAATGAATTTAATTTCATTTCAAGTTTTTCTCACTTTACAACAGCGTTTTGTTTTGTATTTTTTACGTCCATGTTTTTTTATAAATTGTGCTGTATTCACATATATTCATTTATGTCTTTCAAAGGATTTTTTTCGACATATCGTGTTCGATGTCCAGCTTTCACTACTAACTGTACAACATTGGACACCTTTTTTACGTTAATGGAATGAAATTCGAAATTACTTGCATTCTATGGAATTAATACTCACTTGATATGGTCCAAGAACGTCGGATGCTCTTCCTCAACACATCGCTGGTGGTCAGATGGTCGACGGCACTGCACGAGCCCAGGGCATAGGCGTCCTTCAGCCACTCGCCGCTGGCTGATTGTAGTTCCCTGCAAGAGCAACAACATTGCCACTTTAGAAACCAGAAAACTTCGCCAAACATTTCCCCAACGAAAGTTGGAGACGTCAAACAATCAACAAGCTCGAGTAAATCGGCAACTGAACGGATTCAACGTCTGTCAGTGTTAGCGACAATTGGCAGACTGGCTGGCTGGCTTATTCAAAAATACACTGAATGCCGGATTGTCTGTGGCTCAGCATTAAAATGAAACACCAACACACTGGGGCTTAATGCCAAGGTGTGAGCCATCGGAAGAGTTGAGTGCGCATAAGTGTATTTTTCGGGAAAACTTTGCCAATGAAACCGCAACGGAAAAGTTTGGGGCTCAGGCACGAAAGAAATAATTAAATATTAATGAGTGAGTCAAACTTCAACCGGAAGTTGGTCCTGTTTATCTGCATCTTTCCGCAAAATACTAACTTTAATCCCACATTGGTGTTTTTAATAATAATCAAAAAATAAATATGAAAGTTTAAACTTTTATATTATTAAATTAACAAAAGAAATTATACTGTTTGTGGTGAAAAATAACTAAAATAAACCCCTTAAACCAAAGAAAAACAAATTAAATTTTATTATTTCGCTGAATTTATTTGGTCAGCAAAAAACCATGCGAAAGTTAATTAATATTGAAGCTTAATAAATTTTTTGGAAATGCCTTATAGGAAATTCCAATTCTGTTAATTTATTCGCGGTTAGCCTTGTAGAATAATCTATATAAAAATAAATCAAGGACAAAATATTTTTTTAAAGCGTAAGTCTAGTAACAGCTTGTAATCAATGAATATTTGCTCATATAAGCAATCTGTTAATAAAAGGAAACATAAATATGAACGAATAAGCTATGAATATTGGTAAAGCAAGAAATCTATATGTGGACACAGATTTGTGGAATAATTTTATTTCTTTGAGCAGACAGTGTGCGATTTCAGCCTGTCTTGGGGGCGCAGTCAAGCAATCTAATAAATTCCAGCTGAGAGGCAGACGCGAGTGCAGACGCCTTCCATCGAGTAATCGAGTACCAGGAGGGGCTGGGCCCATCGTGATCGTCATCGCTGTCATAATTATCCAGCAGCTGCAGCAGACGCGGCCAAATTTGGTGTGCGTCATGCGTGTTGACAGGCGTGAAATCGCAGGCGATTTCACCTGTAGGCGGCGACCTGCTGGATTCTTGGCTCGGGAAATCTACATTTACCACACGACGCAAGTATCTTTTTGCCCTGCAGCTGCCATCGAGTTGGCCAAGATTTAATTACTCAAATGTCTGAGTCTGGCCTTGCGAACTCAATACGGGCATTTCTCGGCTGGGGAGCCGTGTTTTTTGGGGCCCCGGCTCGCCCATTAACACTGAACCTTTTGAGTGTGGGTCGCCTGTCTCATCAGAGGCAATTGTTGTGTTGCCAAATGTTGGCACAAATCGAGCTGATGCTGTGGCGACACAGGGCGTATGTGCAATGTGTGGGGTGGCTGATGTTTATGCTGGCAAAATGGTTGCAGAACACACAGTGCAGCTCATTTAACAGCCCGAACACTTGTTGACAGTTTGCCGCTCGTAGAATGAACATGTTTGGCCTTTCCATTTTTGGGTTTTCGGTGACATTTTGCCATCCTTTGAGTTGACTAATTACAAAGTTATTTAATACATCAGAAAATCCTTTTTTGTGCACAGAAGGTTATGCTTAATTACAAAATCATTTCTGCAGAACACACAAAATGAGAAAAAGGGATTTATCTGCATGAGTGGGACACACTTGCAAATAGAATTTTTAAATTAACTTGCTGTTTACAAAACACGAATGTGAGTTTAAGCCGCTTTGCATCGCAAATGGGTAATCAAAAAGTGCAGAGCAAACACAACGAGTCGAAAACATCCAGTTTCAAATATTCAAAACTGCAAGGGAAACCGAAAAATGAACCAAAAATCTGCCACCTCAGTTATGTGAAGCCTCAGTTGGCATTCTGTGTCACCTGATGCCCACGGGCCGTGATGGGAAAAATGGAAAATAAACAAATGAGCCGCTTCTATCACCTTTCAATGCACATAAGCCCCTTCCTGGAATTCATTTTGGCACATTCAAGCTGGAGATAGTTTTCTCTGTCCGTTAGCAATTCCATATTTTGTTTTCGTCTGCACCAACAAGGTTTGGGTGACAATTTTGACGACACAAAGCAACCAAAAGGGCATGCAAAATTAGACTGCAACGCTGAAAATTGCAGCGTTTGCACTACAAAGTCCAGTTCTCAAAAATAAATGCATAAAGCAGTTGTCCGTGCACGAAAGAAGGTAAACTGGAGTTGAATATACCCTAGGCATAATCAAAACTAACTAAGTACTGAAAAAATAAATTACTCTTAAATAATTTAATATCACACCAACAGCCAGGGAATTTTGAATAATCCCGGTTGGTGATTTCTTAAAAAACTAATATACATTTTTTAAGTTAAATTGAATATCTTGATAAATTTAGTTTATTGTAAAGATTTTTTTATACAAAGAATTCATTCATTGCCATTGTTTGGCCACAGTTATTGTAGTAAAAGTAAATTTGCTATGTAGTATCTGATAGCTTTTATTTTGAAGTAGACTAATTAGTTAGTGGGATTAGTAACATTGAGTTTAGTTTTGGCATTTAAATTTGTCTCCTTGAGATGGTATTATTACATTTATAGATCTAAATCATTGGTAGGGTGTATTACCTCAAGAATGGGTATTCCAACACCACAAGGACACAAAGTAGTGTTTTGTTGTTTGGCTTAGTTTTTGTGTGCGTGAGAGTTGGATGGTTCGGTTACATTCAGAGAGTTTTGCGAGTTTTTAGTTGACAATGAAAGTTGGAGAGACATATAGACGGAGGAGACAGACAGACAGACAGATAGAGGGGAGACAGAGACACACTTACATTTGCTTGTGGCACACCACGCACACCCAGTCCGTGGTGCGCGATGTGAATTCGCGACAGGCTTTGCAGACGCGCAATTTGCAGACGCGACAGGGGGCGCCGCGGTTGGTGATGCGACCCAATTCGGTGTTGCAGCGGGCGCAGTGGCGACTCTGGTCGCTCGTGTGTGCGTTGTGGTTGTTGTGTTGTTCGAGCTGTTGTTGTTGTTGATTGGGCTGCATGGTTGTCTGTTGTTGTTGTGTGGCATCGAATGGCTGCACTCCACCAACGACCTTAGACGCACCCTTGCGCCTCAAAGCATACAATTCGGCGCGCAAAAGCCTGTTGTTGTTGAAATTCGGTTGGAGTTGTTGTTGATATTGTTGGAGTCATTGTGTTGTTGAAGTGGTTGAAGATGTGGTTACAATTGCAGTAATTGTTGTGGTTTTTGTTACGTGATTGTTTGTTGTTGTTGAAATTAATGAGGGATTGTTGTTGAAATTCGTTTGGAATTATTGTGGTTGAACATTGGTAGGAATTATTGTTGGTGTTGTGGAATTCATTGCAAAGGTATCGTGATTTTTTTTGGCGTTCAGTTGTGGCGTGTTTATTGTGGTTGTTCAAAGTTTTGTTTAAATTACAGGGGTTGTAGTGATTTTTGTAGTGGGTCGGTTTGAGGGGTTTTGGTTTCGGGTTGGTAACATAATTACGTGACAGACGCATAGACATTTCAGTTAGATTGTTGGTTAAGAAACGAAAACACGTTACAAAAGTTAACATGACATTTTGCGACAGTTAGACAGAGAAAGAGCGAGGGAGAAAGAGAGACAGATAAAGCGGCAAGCGTGTGAGTTGGATGTTCGGGTGTGAGTGTGTGTGAGTTCGTGATGTATGTGTAATTGAATGAAAAGAGACAAAGAATAAAAAGAGCACACAAAAAGTTGTCATTAGTTGATTTAGTAGCAATTTAATCGATTTTCGAATTTAATTTTGGTTAATTTAGGTTAGATTGATTGGACAAGGCAACATTTTTCACGTGCGCAACACATTTGTAAGTGAATTAAAGTGATACGATTTGAGACAATAAATCAATTAAATTTGTTGCAAAAGGATATGCAAAAAATTTAAGTTTTAAGTAAATTAAAATTATGAATGCAGATAACTTGGTGGTTGTTTGACATATGGAGATTGAGTATTCCTTGTCGTGGGGAATAAGCGTTAAAATGGCTAATTATATGTAAGCTTGAAGTCTATATAACTATATTTCATTTAATAGATTTTGTTGTTTAATTCCATTATTTGTTAACCCAGTTCAAAAATATACATATATGTATAGTCTCTGAAACCCAATTAGAAAATCGAAGATAGAGACGTTCTCAAGCTTAACAAGAACTCCAATGGAATTAATTTAACTCCCACCGACACTAATTTGATTAAATTCGAACAGGACAATGTTGCCTAATTAAATGTCCCTTCCCTGGAACTTAAATTATGCAAATGACCACATGTAGGTGAAAGTTGGCAATCCAACTAAATCGGCAATCAACCGTAAGTCGATGCCCGGTTGGCAAATTAAGTTTGAGGTCCTTCCATGTCCCACTCCATACACACGGGATTTTCGACCATTTCTGGGTATTTGGTGCCCCCGCTGCTTTTTCTTGAGCCGGTTGCTTAATATTAACGTGCAGCTGGCAGGCGAGAGCTATAAAACATGGCCGAGAGCTGCTGACACATAAAACAAACTGAACACATGGGTGCTTACAGATGAGTTCAATAAAATATCACCAAATCATTTTAAAATCTCGTATGCATCCTGACCCTAGCATAAATTGACCCTTAAATAAATTGAATTTGAAAGCCAAATAAATAATAGCCTTGTGTTTTTATAATTCCGTCAAAACCCTTTTTCAAATGTATTTTTTTATAGTGCAAGACACTAGCACACTAGAAAAACTAGCACTAGCAAAATAGAAATAACAAGTATTTTAAGAACCATATCTATTATCTTGACGCCAACTGTAGGCAAGTGTGATGATGTGATGTGTCGGTAAAGGAGTCACGCCGAGCACATAAAAATCCTAACAGGACTTTGGTTTCTGTGTAAATTATGTTGCCAGCAGCAACGGGAACAGCAATTCTTAATTATAATTTTATCTGCTGCCGAGCATCGGGATTGGAGTGCGTGCGAGCTTTATTAGCGTCACAAAATCAGCAAACTGTCGTTTGACGGCAGCCACAAAGCCTAGTCAAGCGGCCATTAAGGTATTCAGGAAGCGGAAACGAAACCAAAAACCGAGGCCATGCCAAAACTGTTGCATACTCCCAGGAGCACAAAACACAAATAAGGCAGCACCAGAATGGCGAACTAACCACGGACCACAGACCCGCAGCCAGGGACATGTTTTATTGGCCTGGTTAACGCATAAACCCGGCTCCCACCGCCAAACAGCAAGGCACGCTGGTTTTTGGCCTCCCCACTCGCTCCAGCACACTGGAAAAAAACCTCTGCCCATATATAACAGTCGTTTGCACACTTTTCACCTAATTTTTAGGGAAATTCGAATAAATTTGTGTTGAAAGTTTCGTTAAATTAAATGAAGATACATTTATTTTCCATTAGGAAAACGTATGGCCTGTTTTGCCTTTTAATCTAGGGAAGTATACATTTAACTAAGTCAATTTTGATGCAAAATATTTTGGAAATGATTTGGCTGTCCTCAGTTTATTTAATAATAATTTATTATTTTGGGAGAATGATAAATAAATTTTATGCAAAATTATAAATTTAAACAAAATAAAAGCATTTTACATGATTCATTCCAAGCAATATTAAGTTGCATGTGAATTATCTTGAACAAAAATGAAAGAACCCTCTATAAAAATCGTCTCAAGAGATTTCCGTAGAAACATATTTCTTAGAAATGTAAGATTAGCTTTTAATTAAATGCAAAGGTTTTATCTCAAAGAATGGTATTCATTTCGCCGTGTAGCCGTGCTCAAGTTTAATGTGCCATCTGTTGGCATGTCAGGATCGCATATACATTGGGTTTGCGATGTGGCAGTGAGACGATATGTGTTCGCTGTCGCATGTTCGAGTGCCCAAGTGCTGTTGTAGCAATAGTTGTAGCTACACGACCACCACGGCTGCGTTATGAATTAATAATCATAATAAGCCATTAGGGCAGGTTCCACAGAAGGAGCAACAGCAGTGGGCTGCCAAAAAGTGCTAACTCTAATGGCCATAAATTCACAGTGACCATGAAAGTGGTGCAAAGACCTGGATTAGCCAAACAGTTTGGGTTAGAATATGATTAAAAACCCTAACATGGCCTAAACAAATAGCGTTACGCATGTTTCCGAATGTCCCAACCCCCGATGCGAGCTCGATTCTCCGCACTGTGGGCTTATGCAAATAAGCAACTAATTAAACTGATGTAAATCAGCTGCGTCCTTCGTCCAGGATGTGGGTGGAGTTCTCGTTTTGGCCTGTTGGCCGTCTGACCTTTTGGGTCAGATCGAACACCTGCTCCACGGGCAAAAACACCGCAGAGCGATGGCTTATTAGATATCAAAGGAGAGATAACGTTTTCGGAGTCCTGCTTTGCCGCTTTGATGTTGCCATGGGGCAGCAGACAACAGGCAAATAATTTGCTTTCTTCAGAGCTTACAGCTAATGCAATTGGTCTGTGTTTTGGTCTGACTTCAAATGCCAAGGATTTTATTTGGCAAATTAGGGCCCAACTTAATATTTGCATCAAGCAATGTCAAAAATCTTAGGGTTTAGGAGTTAAGTCTTGACGGTTTATTTAAATAGGTCTTATTAAATTATTTATTCAATAATTATTTTCAATCTTGTCTCCTGTTAACCTAAACTTTTTTAGTGACAAGCCAAACTAATATAATAATATAATTTTCTATTTCCACTTAAAATCTATGCTTTCCACGAAGTCATAAATAAATAATTCCGCAATCAATGGCAATATATACGAATTCATTACATTTATTTATAGTTTTACTCTAATTAAAGAAATCTTTCGAAAGCGATTGATAGATTTTCTAAAATTTAAATGCCAAGCGTTTTTATTTAACAAAACAAATTCCTAGTTGGATTCACATTTCTATGGTATTAAATCATATTTTCATATTATTTTGATAACGCTATTTTTGGCTATTTTGATGGCCTTTTTGGCTTTAGACAACAAATTTTAAGATGACATTTTAATTGCACATAGTCTATATATATATTTTACAAATTTAAAGGTGTCAGCTTTTTGTAAGTTTCGCAGCTGGCTAAATGTCCTTTAGAGAAATTATTCCCCACTTTAACGTCCCTTTCGCTTCTCCCTCTAGATTTATCCACTGAAATATGCCATAATTCAAACCATTCCCGACCACAGACAACGCGACCGGTCGTTGGCAGCACCGGCTTGTCCATTAGATTTACGATTTTAATGACGCCCAGCGCTGGCGCTGATGCGCCAGAGAATGCGAATATAAATAATTACCAGGCTAAATATGATTTGTCGGGGCGTCTGGAGTGGACTGACTGCTGGACGTTGGATGCTGGGGCAAGGACAATGGCCAGTAGCTAAGGCGATGGCCAGATTGCCGTGGGTCTCGCGTTTCCGTTTCAAATTAAAACTTTTTGACAGCGTTGCGAGGCAAAAAATAAGCAAACTCGAGAATGAGCGACCAGCCGGGGGCGTGGCCTTTTAAATGGATCGCAGGTGCTTTAAATTTAAGCAGGCTCGACCGGTCGAGCACCGGAAATGGACCGCAATTCGCCATTTGCTCGCCTTTTAATTATGCAATGTACGACAAAATGGCGTCACTCGAGGGGCCCGTGAGCATGTGTGTGGAAGTAAGTGCTTGAAAATGTTATTAGTTTTAATTAATTTTAAATGTGGGGCTAAAACGCGGAAGCCAGCCGGAACACGCAACCAGTCAAAAAAAAAATAAACCTTCGTGTTTTGTAACGGGCAACGTTTTGCACTTATGCAGTTTGTATATTATCCTCTTTGTCAAAAGACTTTTTGTTCTTGACACAAGCACCACCGAAACACACGAACGGCGATCGTGGGCAAATCAAATTAAATGCGAATTTTGTTGAATTTAAAGCACTCGTCGCACACGTGTCGTATGCTTAATGGGCCAGGACCATAAACCTAAATAAACGTGGCTGCCGTTTGCCTTTTTTCCACACATGTACAAGTATTTTTTTAAGAGGGTAAGTCATCGGAAACATAAACTTTATTAAATGGTTCGTAACACCGAAAGGGCTGGGAGTAAAATGTTTTATTCGCTAAAAGTTTATTTTCTTCTTGACAAATATTTAAATTTGG